GTCAAAGTGGCCCCGGTAGCGTAAGTAGGTAACGCAACTGCCCGGTAAGCAGAAGATGCGGGTTCGAGTCCCGCCCGTGGTCCGACTTTTGCCCACAACTCAGCATTCTTGTGAAAGGAAAGCGTTTTGTGTACTATTTTTTGTACATTCATTGCTGATTAAAACTCATTCTCCCTTGCGTCTCAGTAGTACATCCTGAAGAGAATTTTTTGCGCTATCTGATGGTATAATTGCCGTTTCACCATTGCTTGATAAACCCCCTTTTCCCAAGACTTTTTGAAGCATGTCAAAAGAGCAACTTCGGACGATATTTTTCTTCAACTAAAAATTGGGTCAATCCGCAGTCGAGACAGCTCGACAAATTAACCAGGTGTGGGGGCCCAATAGTGTAGGAGAAAGCACCGTGCGACATATCTTAAGCAGCCTTGAAGATGAACCTCATAGCGGTCGACCTAAAGCAATACCTGACGAGGATTTGAAGGGGTTTTGGAGGCTGACCCATCCCAAACAGTTCGAGAGATTGCAGAAAAGCTAGGCGTTGGCAAATCCACTGTTGCGGATGGTCTGAAACGCATTGGGAAGGTGAAAAAACTCGACAAGTGGGTGCCCACAATTTGAGTGACCGGCAGAAATTGGCACGTCTCGAGGTTTCTTCTTCACTGCTTTTGCGCAACAGAAACGACCCGTTTTTGAACCGAATTGTCACCTGTGATGAAAAATGGATCATGTATGATAACAGGAGACGTTCCGGACAGTGGTTGGATTTCGACGAACCACCGAGGTAATTTTCAAAGCCGAACCCTCACGAAAAAAAGATTCTGGTCACGGTTTGGTGGTCATCGGCTGGTGTGATCCACTATAACTTTTTGTCACCAGGCCAAACCATCACAGCAGAGTCCTACTGTGAAGAAATCGACGAAATGTACCGAAAATTGCGTCAGCTGCAGCCAGCACTTGTCAACAGAAAGGGTCCGATTCTTCAACGCCCGCCCACACGTTTCACAAATCACTATCCATAAATTGAACGAATTGGGGGTTGAAGTTCTACCTCACCCGCCATATTCTCCAGACCTTTCACCAACCGACTATCACCTTTTCAAACATTTTCAGAACTCCAGAGAAAATACTTCATCAATAGGGCCATCCAGAAAAAGCCTTCGTAGATTTCGTGGATTCTCGACCACCCAGTTTTTCTTTGGTGGGATTTCTCGACTGCTGTCACATTGGCAAAAGTGTGCTGATTCGAATGGTGCTTATTTCGATTAAATCCGATGAGTATTAAGAAAGTTATGATCGTTTAAAGTGAAACACTCGAAAACGCTGAGAACTTTCCGGACAACCTAATACAATCACCCACTATAATTGTTTGCTTCCTCTGTTGGTTCGTTTGCTTTCTTGTTTGTTTATTTGTATGTATGCCTGTCCGGAAATTCGGTTCGACCTGAAGAACGACTTGGAGAGGTCGGGTCAAGGTGGGGATGGGTAGGGCATGGGACAAGATGTAAAAGGACGCAGGGGTGACCTATGTGAAGCTTCGCCCACGGTGGGCGGAGTAAAGCTGACAAGGAGTCGTCAGAGTAGTCAGACGAGACACACCAAAAAGGGCACGGAGTCGCAAAAATAATTAGAGCAGAAGGGTAACACCTGGCGAGAGTTGAGATCCCTGAAATGTGTCTCGCTCACAGTCGGCGGAGCTTTCTCTCAGTCATAGTCTGCTCATTTCAAAAATTTTTAGCTCGCTTCCAAAGCACTCCGGAGACTGGAAAAAAGTGGATTAAGCTCAATGAAAGGTTGCCGGTTGAGAAATGTAGAACACATACGTCATAGGTGGGCCTGTTCCGTGGTGCCGAGCAAAAATATCTGTGAAACGGTCCATGAGCGCCCCATACACCACAAAAAATGGATT